CCCAGGTTTCTGTTCCTTGGGGCTGGATCAGCACATCTACCAGGGGTTTGAAGTCCCTGGAGAAGCAGACTTTGTGCTCAGACCCCTCCTTTTCTTTGACCAACAGCTGGAATAGTGGTGCCTCCTGCCAGCATAGTTGGGCCAAGGGGCCAGCCTTGGCCACCGCCACCAGCAGGACCCTACCACGGGCCTGGAGAAGGAGAAACAGGAAAGAAAGACAGGAAGAGGTGGGCAGGCCTGGGGAGACTAAGAGTGAAGGTAGAAAGAGGGCACACCCAAGGACTGAGAGGGCTGGGCCTGCCCTGAGAAGGTAGGGGGAGCGGATGGGGGCAGAGGCACTGGAGGAAGATGTGAGTCCTAGTGATTCTCAGGGTTCCCCACTTGTATCCCACCCACCTCCACCCCCTCCCTCCAAAACGCTAAGTCTTTGGCTCCCTCTTTCCAACCTCCAACTTCTCCTAGAGGGCCTCGAGGTTAAAGAGGTTAACAGGCCTGCCCGACAATCCAGGCAGGGTAATTATAGGGTTTAGAACAGTGGTGTGGGAGAAGATGGTAATTACACAGGGAGGTTCTCTCTGAGGGCTTCAGGGTTTGTGGGCAGGGACCTGGGAGGGGCCCATTCCACAAACAAACTCTCGCCAGCCCAGAATAGCCTCCCCACACCACATTCCCTGAGGCTCCTGCTGGGAGGGCCAGGAGGGGAAAGCCCCTCCTAGGGAAGCCCCCCCCTTCCCAGCTGCTTCTCAATGGCCCAGCCTTTCCCCTCCTTGGAAGGACCTGCAGTGCCAGGGAATGAGTCCACTGACCCTAGTAATAGGGTCTTTAGGAGGACGAAGCAAGAAGAGATGGGATTAGAGGTCATGAGTTACTGCCCACTAAGCCCAGCTCTGATGGACAAGGCAGTTTTGGTGCATGGTAGCAGTGCAGGATAGCAGGAGCCCCTCCTCCTCACAGTGGCTCCCAGTGCTGGGGTCTGCAGCTCTGAAAGTGGTCCAGGTGTCTCTGGCCTCGGACCCTGGTGACCAGCTCCTGGGACCTGCAGTTCCTTTTCCTGAGGCTGTAACATAAGGGACCCTCTACCCAGGGCTACACAAGCACATCTTGCCTACAGCAGCTCTTGAAACCTCATCCCTCCTTCTCTCCCAGCAGCTCACACCCTTCAAAGCTCAGTGCCTCCCTTACGCCCCAACCCACATTTGCTATGAACCAGTCAGGACCTTGAAGGAGGCGGGCCTGAAGGTTGCCTGGGTAACACCGGGAGAGGGGCACCCTTGGCAGGAAGACAGTTGCCTGGGAGACCAGGGCAGTGGGCGGGGCCCCAAACCCTGGTTAGCTAGTGTCGTGATGAGGAAGGATCTAAATGTCCACATCTCTCCAAATTCCTTTTCCTTAAAGCCAGCAGGGTCCCCTCCTCGGGACTGGGTCTAGGGCAGCTGGAAGTCTGAAGCTCCTGAAAGAGACCTCCCAAGGTTTACCTACAACTCAAGGGAACCCAACAGTACCAAGCCTGAGGGAACTCAAGGAAAGTGGCAAGATCTAGGAGGGGGTGGAGAGAGAAACAAGGCTTAATACTTTATGATATAGAACTTCTTGGACTAGAAATCTAAAGTGAAAATACACAAAGTATGCAAAAAAAAAAAAAGTCGTTTTAGACCCACCTCCAAGCAGAAATTCCAGACTCGACCACCAGATGGCAGTCTTGCCCACTCATTGGATTAAATGCAGTCCTGTAACCCGCGGGAGGAAGCCAGGAGGCAGAAAATCCTTTCTGTCTCACAAGTTCCAGACTCTTGCTCTCTAGTATTTGGCAGGTACCCATAACTCCTTATGGCCATAAATATACAGTTTTCTTTCCCTAACCTGGCTCTGACCAGAGCCAGTGAGCAGGGTTCATTCATTCTTTATTCAAAGCCGTTAAGGAATACTTTGGTGATAAAAGCTCCCGCTCTCTTGGGTCTCACAGTGTGAGGCTAAGTTAGGTAGTAGTAATGACTAATTATCTCATTTAAAACTGTGTGTCAGGCAGTTAATCTTCATAACTTTATGAAAGAGGTACAGTATTGTTATCTCCACCTTACAGGTGAGGAATCTGAGGCATAGAGCCAAGTTCACACAGCCAGAAAAGGGGGAGAGCTCTGGGGCTTGATCCCAGGCAGCCTAGTTTGAGTCTAGAAGCTATGTGATTAACCTCCATGACACACAGGATGGTGCAGGTATAGCTAGGAGTAGCATCTACTCTAGTCTTGGGAGTCAGGAATGGACTCCTGGAAGACATGTCCAGAATCTCATCTATACTGAGACCTGAAGAAAGAGTAAGTTGAGGGGGGTGGAGGGAGGGAGTGGAGGTAGGAAGGGGAGTTGTTCAAGAAGAGGAAACAACTTGTGCAAAGATTCGGAAATGATCAAGAGAAAGAGGGTGAAGGCTACATCCAGGTTTTTGACCTGGGTGATTGTCATTCACTAAAACCAAACAGAGCAGGATGGGGGCACAGTTCAGGGGAGAGAAGTTCTCTGTTTACCATATTTAATCTATGATATTTGAGGGTGTGTCCAGATGGTGATATCGAGGAGGCATCTGGCCCCTGAAAAAGGGGGCCAAGTCTTACTTACCTTTGCATCTCTCATAGACCTGCCGCTAGCTACATGTTTGGTAGGGAAGTGAAAGCTGGGCCACCTCCTCTGAGGGAGAAAGAGGTGACACCACCTCTGCTCTCAAGGAGTTTGCAATTTTGCTGAGGAAATGACATCAGAGGAACATTTTGGAGAACAGGATATGCCAGAATATGTGGTGAAGGTAATCACTGCTCTGGGAAATCAGAAAGGAAAGCAAATCATCCTGAAAAAGAAGCCCATGAAGGCCACTATTAATTGATTGTTGTGTAATCCTCACAGCTAGTTGAGGGCAAGCAATGTGATCCTATTTTATAGATGAAAAAACTTGATGAAATGTTGAGATGCTCGTGTCTTGGAGGGAACCAGCTGTCTAAGTTTTTTTTTTTTTTTTTTTTTGCTTTTTTTCATTCTGCTGCAGTCTTAGTTCCTGCTCTCCATGGACTGGATCATCTCTTCAAAGCTCCCCAGCTTGGTCCTCCTCATCCCTACCCAACCTTCTTCCTTCACACCTGGACCCCCAGTTTCTAACCTCATTCCACTCCAGCTCCCCAGACCAACTCTGTCCTTACACCCAGTGCTCCATCTAATGCAAAGCAGAAACCAATGTCTCTCTGTTCTGCCTGAGAAGCCCAATAATGTTCATCCACGTATTCAGTAAACATTGTGTGTGCCAGGAAGCAAGCAAGATCTGATCTGATCCCCTCAAATATTTTCAATCTACTGGTTATTTGTCTATTGACCTCTAGGGCTTTAGACTCAAGAAATCAGCCTGAAGAAACTGAGGTCTGGGAAGAGGTATGCAGAACCAGAAGAAGTTAAGCACTTCAGGAGCATTTTAATACCTTGGCACTCTTATACTCTGCCCTCTGGCTGTACCCAGGGTTACACCTGAAGACTAGGGCTGGTCCTACATCTGGGTTTCTCCCCTTGGGACTTACGTTCTCCAACTAAGGCATCTGAAGGCAGACCTCTCTCTCATCCTCACCCCTGCAACTACAAGCCCCTTCTCAGACTTCCAAGACCCTGCAGATCCAAAAATCCAGAGGTCCAGATTCCTCTGCAAGCACAGTGGTCTCTGGCCCTGTTTCCTCGCACTCCTCCCCTAGTGGGTCCCCAGTTCCTGCCTTTTCCAGCCTACTGACTCCCTTATCCCCTTATCAACCCTCAGTTTCAAGTACACGTTCTTCCCAGCTCTAAGTCTTCCTCTGGTCTCAGGGCTTCCCACCAGCTCTCCACCTTCTCAGATTGTCCCTGGTCTCTTCTCCTCCTATTCTTCCTCACTAACCCCCATGTCCATCTCTTGCTTCTTGATCCCCTTGATGAGCCCAGCCTGATTCTTCCCTCCACACCCTCCCCACTTCTGGTACTGGGCTACTTCTGATAGCTGGGGCTCCTCTGGGCTCAAATTCACCTCCTCCCCCTTGGGCTCTCAATGCTCCCACCAACGCTGACTCTCGTCGCTGGGCTGTCTCTGTCTCTTCCCTCAGGAGTCTCTGTCTTGCCATCTCTGCCTTCCCCTGATCCTCTGTGTCTGCCTTCTCTGTGTCTACCAAGGGGCTCCCTTGGTACTGCCCAGTCTCTGGGCTTCCCCCGCCTCCCCCTCCTGATTTCTATCCCTCTCTCATTCCCAGGGTTCTGGTCTCCGTCCCATCAGCTCCTCTGCTCTGTTCCCATCTCTATGCACCCCTGACCTCCTGTGGTCTGGATCTGTAGACCTCCAGCTCTCCCCCCTGTCTAGCCATACCCTCTCTCCTCCCTCTAGTCTCTCTCCCCTATCTTTGTCTCATGACTCCCCCACTAGTTATGCCTGTCACTTTCCTTCTCTGTCTCTAGTTAAGTCTCTCCTCTCTGTGTCTTCCCCCCTCTGACCCTCTCCCCCTCCCCCCTTTGTCTCTCCCTCCTCTTCCTCCCGCTCTATCTCTGTGCCTCTGGTCTGTGTCTTCCCCCCTTTATCTCTCAGTCTCTCCTTGGTCTCTCTGACTCTGACTTTCTCTATCTCTCCTTTCCTCTCCCCCACCCCAATATCTCTGTCTCTCCGTCTCTCTGAGCCCTCGCTCCCTCCCTCTCTCTCTTTTCCTCGGCTCTCTCCGGCTCCCTCTCTCGCCTCGGATGACAGCGCTGCCTCTTTTGTTGGCTCCGCAGCCAATCGCGGCCGCTGACGACACGGGGGCCGGGGCTATAAAGGGCCTGGCCCGGGCTCGGGCCCCCCCAGCCGCCCGCCCCGGCCGCCCGCCCGCCCCGCCCGCGCGCCCGCCGCCCCCGGCCCCCCCGGCCCCCCCTCGGCCGGGCAGCCCCCAATCCCGCGCCGCCCGGACCCCCTCCTCCTCCCTCCCTCCTCCCTCCGCCCCCTCCCCGCGGGACTCCGGCGTCCCCGCCCCCCAGTCCTCCCACCCCTCCCCTCCAGCATGGTGCTCGCGGCCCCGCTGCTGCTGGGCTTCCTGCTCCTCGCCCTGGAGCTGCGGCCCCGGGGGGAGGCGGCCGAGGGCCCCGCGGCGGCGGCGGCGGCGGCGGCGGCGGCGGCGGCGGGGGCCGGGGGGGAGCGCTCGAGCCGGCCGGCCCCGTCCGTGGCGCCCGAGCCCGACGGCTGCCCCGTGTGCGTGTGGCGGCAGCACAGCCGCGAGCTGCGCCTGGAGAGCATCAAGTCGCAGATCTTGAGCAAACTGCGGCTCAAGGAGGCGCCCAACATCAGCCGCGAGGTGGTGAAGCAGCTGCTGCCCAAGGCGCCGCCGCTGCAGCAGATCCTGGACCTGCACGACTTCCAGGGCGACGCTCTGCAGCCCGAGGACTTCCTGGAGGAGGACGAGTACCACGCCACCACCGAGACTGTCATTAGCATGGCCCAGGAGAGTAAGTGGGAGGCGGGGCATGAGCGGTGGGGTGCTGGCTCCCACTCCGGCTCCGGGAAAGTGAGTGGCTCCCGCTCCGAAGCGGGGAGCTCCCGGTTGCTCCGGCCGGAAAGCCTTTTCTGCGAAAACTTGATGGATTGGGGGGCGGGGGCTGCTCCACAAGTTTTTCGAGCTGTGGAGATGGGCTGCGGAGTTGTGTGCACGCCCCGCTCCCGGAGGTGAGGGGGCAAACGGAAAGGGTTGCGAGATACCGCTTCCCACCCTGTGTGTGTGTGCGTGTGGTGGTGGTGGGGGGGGTTCGGGGAAGCTGGGGTCCCCCTGCAGCAGAGGGCAAGGGACAGCAACTCAGTCCTGAAGGACCCTGGTGGAGAGGCTGGAGAACAGAAGCGGGAGGCTTCGGAACCCCCGCAGTCCCAGCCGGGCTGCCGTGCTCTCCGCCTCCCAATGGCCCTGGCACCAACTCAGCACCCCTTCCACTTTGGGCTTTGCAACGCGCCCCCCGGGCTTCAGAAAACCTAGTGCTCCTCTCCTTCTCCCAGGAATGAGATCCCAGAGCCCTGTATCTCTCCCGTCAGCCCAGCTGGCACCCGTCCCATCGGGAGCCCTTCTGACACCAGGTCTCCCAAGGGGCCGGGAGAGCTGTGCCTTCTTGGTACTAACCGAGCTCAGAGAACTCAACTCCATTGCGCTGGGGCTTAGGGCTCCGATTTGGCAGCTCAAACCTTAGTGTTGTATCGCATGTTCACATGCCCTTAGCCGAAACCAGACTTGAGGAGAGAGAGGAAGACCTAGGGGGATAAAGAAAGCAATAGATGGGGGGGGAGGGGGGGACCCAGGCATCCTAGTCCCTGGCCAAACGGAAGATGAACATGTTAATAGACTTGAGCTGCTTTGAAATTTTATGGCCTGGAAAATCCAGGCCAACACTGTCCACCCCCCCCCCAAACCCCCCAGCTCCCCCTAAGGTCAGATGACTCCCTTTTCCCCTCCCCCACTGAGGTCTCCCCCATCCCAGCAACTCTAGGGAGCCAGGCCCTCCCTTATGCCCTAGTGGTTTGGCAAGTCGCCCCCGACCCCACAACTGTTTTGTTTTATGGCTCTGAACAGAAGAGGGGGAGACCGGTTTATTGGCAGATGGGTCATAAAAAGCCGGGGGCTGAGGGGAGTCCTAGTGGCCCGACCCCCAGGGAGAGGCACAGGAACCCAGGCGTGCATCCGGGAGGCTGAGTGCCTCACACTGCCACCAGTTTTTCTGTGACCCTAACTCCACAGTACCGGTCAGGGCTGTAAAGAACTCTCGGAGGACTAGGAAACTAACCTGAGGTGGGGGGTGGGAAGGCCTAGGATCTGGTCTTGAGTTCCTCAGTCTCCCTTCTGCTCTTAAGGCGTCTGCTTTATAGAAGCTAGGGTCAGTCTGAGACTGGCTGAGGGCAGGGGTGGGGGCGGGGATACCAACAGAGTTAGAAACAGAGAGTGGTAGAGGGATTCTGAAAAGAGTTTGCTGGAAGAAGGTGAAGGGTGCAGAGGAAAAAGATACTTTGGTCTGTGTGGTGCAGTGTGTGAGGATTTCCAGAATGAGTGATGGAGCTGAGGACTTCCCTTGCTCATTCTGTCCCTAGCATCTCTTAACCAATAGGCCTGAGCCCAGAGTTAGCTCTGGTAATGGGGATGCAGGAAGTGAACAGACACTGCACACACAGTTTGGGAAATGCCGGTTAGACTCAGGGGCTGGGGAGGACGGGGAAGGACACCAGCAGGTGGGGTCCCACCTCGGCTTCTACCCTTCTGCCACCCCAGGACTTGGATAACTAGGGAACTGGGTCTCCATCCAGGTATTGTACGTCCCCTTTAAGAGCCAAGCTGAGCTCTTAAGGGAGGGAGGGGGAGCCGAGGGGCGGGGAGGGAGAGAGGGGAAAAGGAAAAAGAGACTTTTATAGTCTAATCCCCAGGGACCCGCTTTAATAAGAGACTTGTGCTCTGCTAATCGGGGGAGGTGTTTGTCAGCAGCGATGGCCTCTGCTCCCCTCCCCCTTCCTCCCCTCCCCCAGCCCTCAACCCTGGACCCCAGCCCCCACCTCTCCTAGGCTGCAGTGCCTGCCCTAGTTCCTCCACCCTCTCAGGCTCTCCCACCACAGCCTTCATCCTGGGAACCCAGCCCCCTTGCCCTTCTGGGAGCCAAGCCCAGCCCCTCAGTTTCTCTCTCTCCTCCCTACACCAAGAGGCCCCTGCCCTCTCAGTCCAACCTCCTGCCCCTAGGCCTTCCAGCCAGGGTAAGGAAAGTGTGTTTGGTGTTTGGGAGCGGGGCGTGAGGGCAGAGGAGGAGGTGGTGAGCAGAGAGGGGGTTGGGCTTTGGCTGAAAATAGTGCAATGACCTCTCTCCAGAACAGAGCCGCCTCCTAAACCTGACCTGCCGCCTGCCACCAACCCGGATCAATCCAACACAGATGTGGCTCCTTCCCCTCCCTTTGGGAGCTGGGCCTGTGTGTGTGTTGGGGACTCTCTCAAGCCCCTTGTTTCCCTCTGTGGCTCTACCTGTTTCTTTGTTTCTCCCTCTGTTTCCTTCCAACCTTTCTCTCAACCCCACTAGTCTTAGCTACTTCCCTCCTTTCAGCTTCTTAACCCCCACTCACTCCTTTTGCATCCCTCCTCCTCTCCCAGTGTTCTCCAGCTCCCAAACCTATTTCTTCTCCCCCTACCATGATCTTCCACTCTCTTCCTTCTTTTCTCCATTTCTCTGCCAGCCTCTTCTAACATGCCTTCATCTCTGTCTCTCCTCTATTCTTATCTCCCTCACCATCTCCAGTCCCCTGTTTCTTCTCCTTTCCCTTTTCTTTCTCCAAATGTCTTCATCCTGTCCCCCTGTGATACCAACTGTCCTCATATCCAGTGGGGGAGAAGTGTATGGTGATTCCCGGGGGTGAGGATGGGGGACTTTGCCTGAAGGAACCAAAGACTTAGAGAGATGGGGCCCTGGAGCCCAGTCCCCCATTACTAAGCCTTGGGTCAACTTACATAGGGACATATGTTTAGAGTTTAGAAAACTAGAGATGAACCAGCTGAGAAACTACTGCTATTTTCGCATTCTTTATTTAATGCTCAGCACTCCTGTGAAGCAAGGATTATTGTCGGCGGCACTGAGAAGCTTGGTGAATAAGGTCAGATACTGGTTAACGAGTCAGGCAGTGATTAAACCCACTGCAACTGTAGTCAAAGAACAGTGTTTAGATGCCAGGAAGAACTTTCAGGCACTTGCCTATATAATTTAAGATTGGGAGTTTAGGGAGTTCATTCAGCATGCACTTACTGAACACTGCCCGGGTGCTATGGGAGGCAGTAATGCTACAATGGTGAGCAAAACAGAAACAGCATCGACACAGTGTCTACTCTCATGGAGGTTAGTACCTAATGGTGAAGACAGGCAGGGAAATAAAACCACCCCTATACTGAAATTAGGCATAGCACGCTATTTGGATTGTTGCTTGCCACTCTCCATCTCACCAGCAGCTACCCTGCCCCAGGGGCTCTCCTAATCCCCTCTCTCCACTCCCCAAACCCTACCCCACCGCACTCTCACTGAAGCTCCAGCTGGAGGATAACTGGACTACCAGTGCCCTGGGACTTTGGAAAAGAACCAAGGGAAAGCTGCAAAGGAACTTTTTGTCTTGTGCCCCGAATATGTGAAGATCTTTAAGTACTCCTCCCCAAGTCGCTTGAAGTATCCTCCTTCTCCTAGGGTGGGGGTGGGGGAGGGCTGATGAAACAACAGATGAGAAATTCTCCATGATTATGCAGACCTGGGCATGATACTAAGGGCTTGGACTTCCTGATCATCCTTACATCGCTCTGGAAGCTCATTCCTGACTCTTCCTCAGGCTATTTAGCGTGAGAATGGATATTAATATCCAATAGAAACATGATTTAGGGCACTCCCAACTGATTTAAGAGATTAGAAAGGGGAGCTGAGAGGAGATGAAATGGAAGCAGAGGCAGACATTGAGAATCATCCTTTAAACTCAAGAAGGGTCAGTTTACGATCCAAAACAAGGGGAAATTGGCCAAAATGTAAAGTTGGGATGTTAAACCTTTGTAAAGACTTATTGGCACTGGACTGAGAAACCAAAGGAAGCTTAGGGGAGAGAAGACTGATTTAAAGTTGATCTGATGTGCTGAATACTATTTCTGATGCTTTGGGAAAGTAGGAGGAAAAATACACGGAGGTAGTGCTTCCCTTTCTTAAAAGTGGAGGCATTAATGGTGATGAGGAAGCAGCAGCTGAGGGAACTTTTCTCAGGGTCAAGGGACTGAGCAGTCAGATGCATGGGGAGTGTTTGAGTAGTTCCATTCTCTTGGGTGTGTTATTTCTGCTGGGAATGATGGAAGAAGCCTAGATTTGAATTCTGGCTTACTTCATGGAATAAATTTAGCCCACACTCCCTATCTGGACCCTGGGTTATCCATTCCCTGAGGCCATCTGTTTCGGGGGGTGTGCCGGGCTCCACCTGGCCACCAGACAAAACAGAGCAGAAATGGGGCAAGGTGACCTGAGGACAGCAGGTGTGATATGAGCTTTGGCTTTTATGGAGAGCATCAAAGGTTCAGGAAAAGTTGGAGCCCTACATGCTAGGGAAAGTTGGAGGAAGGGAAGACTGCAGGTGGGAGAATTCCCTAACAACTATCTTTGCAGGTTATCTGGGAGAGAGGAACCTCTGCATTAGGGCTGACAGATTAAGGAAGGGGTGTAGATCAGTAAGGCCTGATAGAGCCGTTATCTTACAGGGAGAGCAGGGGTGCTGTTCTAGGTACCAGTGACATGGTAGTCAAGAAGACAGGCAGGGAAGAAGGGTAAGGAACTGGAAAACACAGGCTGAGGAGTCTGAGTTGCCAGTGTCCCCCTCCACAGACACCCTTTGCTGATACTGTGCCCCCTTCTCTCTCATCAGCTGACCCTGCGGTGCAGACAGATGGCAGCCCTCTCTGCTGCCATTTCCACTTCAGCCCCAAGGTGATGTTCACAAAGGTACTGAAGGCCCAGCTGTGGGTTTATCTCCGGCCTGTGCCCCGTCCAGCCACAGTCTACCTGCAGATCTTGCGACTGAAACCCCTAACTGGGGAAGGGACCGCAGGGGGAGGGGGCGGAGGCCGGCGTCACATCCGTATCCGCTCGCTCAAAATTGACCTGCACTCACGCTCCGGCCACTGGCAAAGCATCGACTTCAAGCAAGTACTACATAGCTGGTTCCGCCAGCCACAGAGCAACTGGGGCATCGAGATCAACGCCTTTGATCCCAGTGGCACAGACCTGGCTGTCACCTCCCTGGGGCCGGGAGCCGAGGGGCTGGTGAGCAGGGAGCCTGAGATATTGGCAGATATGTATAACCTGGCCCTGAGGAGGTGGGGTGTTGGAAATGGTAGACCAGAAACGTAAAGTGGGTTAGGGACCAGCATTATTTTTCTAGGGCCCGGAGCTGATTCTAGAGGAGAGTTAGGTGGTGGTAATGGGGTGATATCACTTTTCAGAGATCCAAGGAGGCAACAGTTGAAAACTGGATTTGGGGTGAAGTAAATCTATTTGAGTAAATAGATTCATGGGACAACAAAGATGGGCTGTTGTTGAGACCTTGGGCCAAGGGGCTGATGAGGATCAGGTTGCCAGAAGAGACAGAATTGGGGAAGGTGAGTTGAGGGAGAGGTGGCTAGCTGGCAAGAAAAGTGGGTAAAAGGCAGGCTGGGGATGGGAGCGTTGGAGAAGCTGAGAAATCAATAGTCTCTGTTCTGATGCCCCTGTTGAGGGGCAGGTGAGAAGAAACAGGGAGTAAGAGCTCTGCAAGGCTCTATCACATCTATTTCTCCTCTCCCTCACCCCCAGCATCCTTTCATGGAGCTTCGAGTGCTAGAGAACACAAAACGGTCCCGGCGGAACCTGGGCCTGGACTGCGATGAGCACTCAAGTGAGTCCCGCTGCTGCCGATACCCCCTCACTGTGGACTTTGAGGCTTTTGGCTGGGACTGGATCATCGCACCTAAACGCTACAAGGCCAACTACTGCTCCGGCCAGTGCGAGTACATGTTCATGCAAAAGTATCCGCACACCCACCTGGTGCAACAGGCTAACCCAAGAGGCTCTGCTGGGCCCTGCTGTACCCCCACCAAGATGTCCCCGATCAACATGCTCTACTTCAATGACAAGCAGCAGATTATCTACGGCAAGATCCCTGGCATGGTGGTGGACCGCTGTGGCTGCTCCTAAGGTGGGGGACAGAGGATGCCTCCCCAGCAGACCCTACCCCTAGACCCCCCAGCCCTGGCCCCCTCCCCCCAGGCCCTAGAGCTCCCTCCACCTCTTCCGATGAACATCACACCTTGTTCCCTGCCCAAGCAGTGTGCAATACAACCGAGGGAGGCAGGTGGGGAATTCAGGGGTGAGGGGTTTGGGGGAAAGGGGGAAGAAGAGGGGGCATGGTCAGGTGGGGAGTTTTTGAGGTTTGAGGTGAGAAGGTTTGGCAAGAAGACAGAGAGACGTAGAGACAGAGGTAGTGCAGAGGAATAGAGACAGAGGAACAAAAAGAGCAGCAGTGAGAAGAAGGCAAAGGGATAGATGCAGAAGAGACAGAGACTAGGCAGAGATAAACCCTGAGAAGGAGACAGAAATGCAGTATTGAGAAAGCCCCACACCAAGCCTCCTTTCTTCCACTGGCAAGGTGAGGGGCTTGGTATGGTCTGGGGAGATCCCCTGACTACCATTCTCAGTAAGAGAGAAAATCAAAACCCATTCTTAGCTTCTTCCCTTTCTCCCTCCAGCAGTGGGTGGGGGAAGGAAAGTGAGGGCAGGGGCAAAAGTGAGGATTTGGGAATTTTATTTATTTATTTATTATGACTTTTCATTTTTTGGTATTTGGCTTTACTGAAATAGATGGGCCCCTGCCCACTGTGCCCTATTTGTCCCTTATCTCCCAAACCCTGTTCTTCCTCAATACTCACCTACTTAAGCACTTGTTTAAAGCTTCCAGGGTTGAGAATGCGAGTAGAGGGCAAGAGGGCTGACACATGGAAGTTTCCAACCCAAAATCACCCTACTTAACCTTCCTGAGCCAAACGGGTTGAACTGAATTCCAGCAGTCACAGAAACAGTAAGAGGTTAGGGTTTAGGAGCTGGGGGGGTGGGGGGTGGGAGGGAGGGGCTCAACATCCAGTATCTGTATGAGAGCCACGAAACTAACCCTCAGGTCTACCCTCATAGTACTGACTTAGGCACAGGTGTGGCCTGCTTATGCCCAAATTCCCCCCAGCCAAGAGAGAGACCAAAGAGCCTGTGGAATGCCTCTGCTCCCAGCCTCTATCTTCAGGTCAATAAAAAGAAGAGTAGAGAGAGCCCAGAGTCCCCAGGTCTGGGAAGGGTCAGGAGGGGTCAAGAAAGGAGTTGTAAGGAGGCTGAAGGTTACAGGGCATTTGAATCCAAATCACTGCTCTGGGCTAGGGAATAGAGCCAGCAGACCAAGGTGGAAGGGATTCTGGAAGGGGGACATTTTAGTCCCCCAACCCCAAAGCTCAGGGTGGAAGGGGGTAGAACAAAGGAGCAGAGTGTCTATAATTATTTTTATCTTTTATTTTTGGAATCTAGCAGTACCTGGCAGCAGGGAGGGGAGAATACAAGTGGGGAAAAGCACCTGACAAGGCCAGTTAGGGCAGAGGTTGGGAAGGATGGAGACTCCCTGGTTTGGAAAGCTAGGAAGCAGGCAGGGACTGGTTGCCACTCCAGGTCACTAGCTGGGCCTATTCATTCCTCCCACAATCCTGACCCACCCTCCTCTGGACTCACTGTGCCTCAGTTTCTTCCCCTCGATGGAATGAGAAATAGCAGCACCCGCCACAGCCAAGAGATGAATTCTGAGCACTTACCACGGGCACTTTATGGACATAAAATACCTCTCGCTGTGGGACAGATAACCAGGGCACCAGAGTAGTGGTGAAGAGATGTGAGGCTTAGAGGAGTCACAGGCTTCAGAGTACAAGTTCCCCTCTGCCTCCCAGCTGGACAGTGCCTGAAGACAAGGAGCTGAGAACCTCCTGATCCATACCCTATCCATATCTCACCTCCAGACCTCTTGGCTCCAGGCAAGAGCCTAGAGCATGTCAGGAGAGGAGGGAGGAAGAACCTTCAGCAAAATAGTCACTCTAAGTAAAGCCAGCAGTTGTCGGTCTGATGCAAACAGTACTGAACTAAAGTAAGCCCAAGCTGGAGAGCTGACCTGGAAGGCTTGTTCTTCCCAAGAGCATGACTTTCCTGCCTGGCCCAGCTGGTGGAAGGGGCAAAGGTATGTGGCCACCCTTGGAAAGGTGATGTTGGTGAGTTTTGGCATCTTATTCCCATTCCCACAGTGAAAAAGTGAGATATTTCGGTACCAGAACGGGCAAGGGCTGTTAAGTGTTTCAACTTGCCTCCTCCCAGATAGCAGCTATACTAACCCCCAGCCTCTCCTCTCTGGCCCCGTTCTTCATCATTCCTTATGCCCCAATCTTGGAGAACAAGATACACCTGACCATCAACACCATTCACATTTCCTTGGTGGAAAGAACGGAACAGAGAAGTGAAGAACAGAAGACGCCTCCTCCAAGGGCAAATGCCCGTGTCTCTTGATCTTGGCACAGGGTGGGGGCTGGGCAATAGGCATCAGGTGACTTCCCTCTACAAATTCTAGAGAGCTGGGGCATTAGACTTGGGGGACACTTAGAATATGCCCCTTTAATGCCACCAAATAAAGACCTTTGGGGGAGGGTCTTTCTCTTATGAACATAAATCTATGAGTTGAAGTCTCATTCCCCTGGTCCTCCTCACCCCCAAAGAGGCATGGGGCAAAGAGGCTTGGGGGCACAGCCCAGCAACCTAGTGGGAACTAGTACTCCCCTCTCCCACCTTATGATGTGTGTGGACCTGGCCAGTGCCCCTCTGATCATAATTAGTGTAATTATTATTTGTGTATTTGTTACACCGTGTGCGTGATTGCCTTTGTTTGTTAAGGGTGTCTGAGGAGTATGGGGCTGACAGGGGCACTGGAATGCCGGGAAAGGACTTCTTCACTGAGATCAAGGCTTCCTGGAGGAAACCACTGCAAAAAGGCCATCAGGCAGTTTTCAAGTTATGTGACAGAGGGCAAAGATGGCCATAGGGTGCTCTGAGTTTTGGGATGGTCACATGACACAATCCAGCACTTGAACCTGAAAAAAGAAAAATAAAAGCAGTCAAAGAGTTTAGAATTCAGTGATGAGCTCTCCTCCGTAATCAAGCGCCATGTTTACACCTTGGAGACCAGGAAGCAGAGGATCTGAGGGAGAATGAAACTTTGTGCTCAAGGACTAAGAAGATGGGGGTCTTGGAAGCAATGAACACTAGGGTCATTTGGGACGAGGGCTGGGACGTGCAGCCCAAGGGAGGCTGGGCAGAGGATGGGAAAGAAAGGGAACCTAGTACAACGCTTCACTGGAGGCTTGATCCTAAACAGTCCCAAAGACTACAAAACCCTCTCCCAGCCTCCACAGAACAGAAGATCTAAAAGTCCTCTTGAGATGGTCCAGCTAATATCTATCCTATTCTCCTGCAGTTCCCTGACCCTAGGTTTCCTCAGCAAAATTTCAACAGAATCCACAAACCAACCCAACTTTGAACTTCCAGTGTACCAAGAGTGGTTAAGCATCTTAAGTATTCTTTGATTCTACTATAAAAATGTTGCCCATATACCTAGGGCACACGTCCCAGGGCATGAGAGTGGGGGGTAGCAAAGGAATCTTGCTTTATAACTGAACAGACAGGAAAGTTCCTGTAACATCAATCTGATCCAGAATGGGGGACAATGTGGGTTCAGTGTGCCACCATGCTTTCCCCGTCCTGTCAGTTCTGTCAGCAGACTGACCCCACCTCAGACCAACTACAAGTTGAGGGAGGACTGAAGTGCTACATATTGTATCCTCTCCCCAATGAACTGCTTTATCTACATCTACCCTTAACTTTGGCCTGAGCTAAAAATAGCTTCCCCCCCTCCATTGCTCATTGTTTCCTACATTGAGAGGACACACAGAAGAGACTGCAAGATGACGTTTATCCCCAAACATCCTGCAACCTAATGGATGAGGAGCTGACCTATACTCGGTCTTTGCCTGTGCCAGGGGCCCCAAGCTAAGAACCAGCAGGCAGTGGCACTTAGAGCTTCTGGTGTGTAGTGAGGCAGAAGCAGGGAAGTCGATGCCCCCAGCCACAACGTCAGCTTTCCTGCCAGTGAGCTGGGGGTAAGGGAGCAATTGGCACTCCTCCTACCTCTTCCCACTCTCTGAACTCCCAAATGCATCTGTATATGTGGTATGCAATACACATACACACTTGCAAACTAGTCCACTCAGACCCCTACCCTCTAGCTGGAACCTACTCAAGGAAAAGAAAATACTTCTATTGTAAGTCACCTAGTAAAATTAAGAGCCAGTAATTACTGAATGATTACTCTGCAAGCTATGGTAAGAAAATTATGCTCCATACATAAATATGATAATATCAATTCTCACGGCAACTTTCACAATAGGTGTGCTACTGGCACAGAGTCTAGAAAGAGTCAAGAATGATTAAGTAATTCGCCCAGGGTCTTGGACCCAGTTTAGCGAGTGTGGTAGAACAAGGAATTACACCAAAGTAGTTGCTATACAATATTTCATTCTAATCTATTAACAGTGATCTGAGAGGTGGAAAAATTAAAAGCTGGGACAACTGAGAAAGGAAAAGAAAGAGAAAGCTGGGAGTACTTTGGGCTCAAAAAGGATCCCCAAAGTTGTAAAACCTGACATTTTTCAGTCCCTTTGGAAGGGAAAACAAGAAGAGTGTGGACATGTTGCAAGAGAGGGGGGACATTAGATTTTGGTGGATTCCAATAATCAGAGGTGAGTGACACTGTCAGCGTCCCTCATAAAAGAGAACAGGGAAAAATAGCTATTCTCACCTATTTATATAAGGTCTTTCCTTCCCCCTGATCTGTTTCTCATGTCAGATATGGCAACAGGACTCAACACCAAGAAGTGTTGCTCTTATTCACATCTTCCTTCCTTATAGCCCTCATCCCCACAGAAGCTTCTAGCCTTGTATCTTCAGAAGTAAGTTCCCAGGATTTGGGGTTGGGGGAAGGGCAGTTTAGAGTGATGGTGGAGAAAAAGAGAATGATCCTAGAGAACCATAAAAAGGTGCAGATTTACAGCTGACGGAGCTGGTTCCCTCCGCATCTTTATAGACTCCCTCATTAAGAGCTTCCAGGTATGCAGAGAATGTCACAGCTTCAGAACAGGGAAAAGAAGCCTGAAGTCAGCTAACTACATCTGGATCTCAGATTAGCTACACTAAAGAGACTGGGGGATAAGAAGGAAGGGTACTTGGATCCCAGATAAAGAACTGCAAGCTTGGATGCCTGTTCTGCCGTTCAAGGGACTTAACTATTTTAAGACTGAATTAGTAAAAAAGACATAGGCATCCTGAACTATTCACACTCAAAAAATATGTGTGGAATGATTACAATGAGACAGGAAGAGGAGTTGGAGGTAAGAGACTTCTGACCAACTTAAGAACAGCTGCTGGGATGGGATGAAAAGGGCTAGTAAAAAATCCACACAAATTGAGAAACACTGTGTCATAGATATGGGGAAGGCCAGTTTAAGTGTGGAAAAGACTGATTTAGGCTTCAGGAAGAGAATCCTGGGGGCAGGGGTTGGGGGTGGGGAGGCTGAATCCCTTTCTGGAACATTATAGAGGATAAGGAGACAAAGTGAAGAAAACTTCTGAAGGACCTAGTGTTCCACTCCGTTATCAGCATCTGCTCTATTCCTTTACCTCTTTTTTATTTTGGGTAGAAAACCCTTCCTGAATCTATGATCTCTGTAAAGCTACAAAACTGAACTAATTCTCTCTGGTTCCGTTTTCAGAGAGACAGAGTAAGAGAAAGGAAAAGCTAGCCTCAGGATCGGGGCCTGAAGAAAAGGGAGGCAGACAGTATAGGCCAGAGATGATAGGAGGAAGAACTTTAACCGGCATTCCTTTTTGTTCATTCCTCCAAAGTTTCAGAATGGGGCAAAATTCACAACAAATGGGCAATCTTTGGATCTCCTCATTCTAAACTTAGGTCCTTGTCCTCCAGCAACCAAAGAGAATTTGTGGAAAGAGATTCTTGTTAGGAAGGTGATCAAACCATTACTTTTCTATTAATTACAAAACCAGACAGAGGTGTTAGTAGAAATGGGAACGAGGAATTACACCACAGCAACGTGGGATCCGATCATGAGACCAAAGTCTTCAGGTACGGTGCCAAGCTCTTAAGTTTTATTATCAGAAAACCAAACAAAACCCAACCTTATAAAGATGTACAGAAGTAAAGATTAAGAGGAGAAACCCTATACCAACATGTCCAAAAAGATTAAGTAGCAGGTCTCACATCTACATGAAACTTCAAATGCAAACCAGCAACCCTGCTTAGGGAGAGCCAAATCTTTCTAAATAGGAGGCTCAGCAAGGAAAATGGATTTTAGTAGTATCTAAGAAACACTGCCACCAAAACTGCAAAAGTATATTTCTGCAATAGAAGACAAACTAAACTAGCATAAGGCTTGACTAGAAAATAGAAGCCTCCAGTCCACAGCTTACGTTCCCAATGATGTAGGTAATAATGCTTAATACCTCTTACATCCTGTCATACTCTGCATCCCCATACTTCTAGCTCTGAGGGGTACCCAGCCAATCTCCTTTCCTGAACTGCATAACCAACAGGATCCCACATATTGGCTTCGACTGAAACCAGACAAGTCACTCTTGAAAATAGGGCCCTTCCGGACTCCAGAATAGGGAGGGACTCTGGACTCCATTCCGTTATAGACTACCAATCACTAGTCCTTGTGTTTATATCCTTTGCACCTCCTAAAACCCACAGTGTTTTCCCTATCTTATTCCAGTGGGTCATGTCAACCTGCTAAAGCAAAGATTCAGGGTGAAACTTGGCCTCTTCATGGAGGATAAAGAAGTAAAAGGATGCCTGTGAGTATGAGAGAAGGAAATAAACAGGCTTAAAGGGACATACTCAATCCTTTTCCTTGTTCTCTTTTCTAAAGGATAAAGGCATTATGGTTAATTCGCTATAATATTTGCCCCTGAAGCTCTCCTTATCTGGTCTAATCTGGCACTAAGAACTCAAAAGAGCACCTGATAAAACACACTGTTCTTTTTTCTATTTTTTTTATTAACAAGCAAAATAATAATTAAAAAACAACAACACAACAACAAAAACCTTAAAGTTGGAACTGCAGTAAGTCAAACTGCTGCTGGAGTTCACAGATGTACCTGGGGTACATGCTCCCTCACTGCAAGGCAGGACCTAGGCACATGACTGTGCATTTAGGTATATATGTGACCAGGAAGAGTTGAAGAGATGGAAACCACTGGAGAATAGAAAGCATCAAAAGCTTTTCATCAGGCAATCCCAAAGCGCTCTGCTCTTTTCCTCTTCTTTGCCTATAAGGAAGAAGCAAGAAGAAAAAAATTAGATTGCAAGACAACAGTGGCCTGGGTTCCTGGCTGCTTTAATCCAAACTCACATGGACTGTCACAAGGTCCAAGAAGGAGGGAAAGCCAGGCTTATGCTTGGCAGCCAGAGATTTAATGTCTGAATCTCTCTAGTTATCCAGTTAGAGCTGGTTTGATGGGAAAGGAGAATAAGGAGGGGAGAATACTGTGGGGAGTAGGGGGTGGGGGAGGGAGAGGAGGAAGAGAATAGTGGTAGAAAATGGAAAGATTCCTGAAGGAGAAAGGGCCACTCAGCCTTACAGCAAGTTAGCCTGGAAACAATGGATCCTTAAACAGGCTGGGAAAAGTCTTCCAGTCAGTGGGGAGATGGGAAATTTCAAAGGACAAAAGGTTGACCAATGCTATTTCATGGAGAAGGTGAAGGGGGTGCCCTTCTGGGCAGTTAGGCCCAATCAGCAACTATTCCTTCGGCCTCCAAATCCACAAAGAGGCATATAAATCTTCAATGCCAACAGAATAAATGGGGGGCGGGGAGGCCCCAACATGGATCTCTTAAGGGAGGCAGTGTGGGAGAGAGGGCACAAAATGGGTGGGGGAGAGAAAGAGAGAAAGATATTTTTGTTCTGGGAGTGACTCATAAAACACTACTGAGTCCTCACTCTAACCACTGCCCCCAGAAAAGAGGGGGCTTTTTTTTTTTATTCCATTCACAGAGGAGGTTAAAGTTATATTAAAAAGAAAAGTTGAGTGGGACTTCCCTGGCGGTCCAGTGCTTAAGACTCTGCGTTTCCAATGCAGTGGGTGCGGGTTTGATCCCTGGTCGGGGAAACCAAGATCCCACATGCCGCATTGTGCACGGCCAAAAAAAAAAGAAAAGAAAAGAAAAGCTGAGTGCATACAAGCCAAGCTCACTTCCACCTGGATTACTGACACAATTCTTTGGAATCAAATGAAAGTCATCTGGTTCATATAAACTCCATCAGCCTCAAAAGTTACTACTCCCTTACATATACTACATATACTAACTCTCCCAATAAAAGCCACTATTCCTTTCTACTCAACAAAATCCTCATCTGCCTTATCTTGGAGGTCAAATGTACCAACTCAGTAAGCGTGCCTGGTCTGATGACAGTTTCCTTGGCAAAGAGGGAGAAATTTTAACTAGAATTAAAACAAGCCTAAGTTTACTTCTAGCTCATCCTGGCAAGTCAGCAAGTAAGCAGACATTTACTTACAACAGGTAATGCTTTATTCTGAATTAGTAGCACAAAGAAGAATATAAAACCCTTTAGTTTTTTCATAGTGGAGAATGTAAACTGATCAGATTCTGAAATTTTCAGGGTTTATTACAAGATTGACTCTGATATTTATTCATAAAGAGACTATAAGATTTTGAGGGCTTCCCTGGTGGTGCAGTGGTTAAGAATCCCCCTGCCAATTCAGGGGACACAGGTTCGAGCCGTGGCCCGGTAAGACCCCACATGCCGCGAGGCAACTAAGCCTGTGTGCCACAACTACTGAGCCCGCATGCCTAGAGCCCATGCTCCACAACAAGAGAAGCCACCGCAATGAGAAGCCCACGCACCGCAAAGAAGAGTAGCTCCCAGTCGCCGCAACTAGAGAAAGCCCGCGTGCAGCAACAAAGACCCAACGCAGCCAAAAATAAATAAATAATAATAAAAAGATTTTGAGTGTGTCAGGTAATAGAGTTTCAGAGGCCATCTCTAGAAGCAGATGGAAAGAAGTAAATTTGGATTAAATGGAAGAAGTAACATTTCAAATTCCTCACCACCTAAGAAATTTCTATAATTCTAAACATAGGCTGCACAGGGTCTAGGTTGCGGCAGGCGGGATCTTCGCTGTCATGTGCGGGATCTTTGTTGCGGCATGTGGGATCTAGTTCTCTGACCAGGGATTGAACCCAGGCCCCCTGCCTTGGGAGTTTCCAGTCTTAACCACTGGACCACCAGGGAAGTCCCTAAACATATTCATTGTTTCAACTGTTCATGTACACCTCTGCTAATGCTTGGTCTCCATTATAGATACTCTCAAACCAGCAAATCAATATTGTCTGTCAATGCTCTGAGAAGTCTGCCAATGCTCAGAGTCTCAATGAATGTTACTCCAGAAAATGCTGGGATATAGATGCACACAAGTCTTAAAGAAACAAACAAACAAAAAGCCATTCTTTCATTTTGAGAAACTATCTGTAAATAAAGTGATAAGAACAAGTCACATTTGAGGACTTCCCTGGCGGTCCAGTGGTTAAGACTCTGCACTTTCAGGGACTTCCCTGGTGGTCCAGTGGGTAAGACTCTATGCTCCCAATGCAGGGGGCCCAGGTTCGATCCCTGGTTAGGGAACTAGAGCCCACATGCCACAACTAAAAGATGCCACATGCCGCACAACTATATTTGTGTCTGGGTTGGATATGGTCTTCGTTAAATGATGTAAGAAATTTGCTTGGCAGATAATCAGAAACACTGCTACTTACTGAATAATTGACATTTTACACAGAATCATTTCATGCTTAAAATACCACTTCGAGGTAGGTTTTATTATCTCCACTTTCCAGATGATGAAACTGAGGCTCAGAAAATTACTATAACTTGTAAGAAATATAGTAATACTAAGTGGCACAGTCACTTATCCAAGCTTAATTGATTCCAAATCTTGTGCTCTTTCCTACTAGGTTAACTGGCTCTTAATAGTGAATTACTTAAGTATACTGATGGAATTCAGTGGGGCCACTTTATCCAGAAAACAGATATCAAGCAAAGGACCAAAAATCTTGTCATTTAGGCACTTAAGAAGTAGGCCAGGGAAATAACAATGTTTCTCCATTCTGTTTGTTTGTCTTCATTTTCCCTTTAAGGGCCCTGTGAAGCATTCCAGGTATATTTTACCTCTGTATCCTCTGTGGTTGCTGTTCCAGCTGAACTTGTGACAATCCCAAATCGCTCCTTCCTCTTTTTCAGCTTCTCATCATCCTCAGACTGTTCAGGGACAAAGAAAAAAGGGCTGAAACAAGCTATCCCTCCATTCACAAGGTAAATGGGAATGAAATTATAACTCATTCGCTACAATATGCTAGCCAACCTTGTGTCAAGAACTAAGGATCACACCCACAGAAAAAAAACAGATAGGAAACTGAATAAGCTAGCATATTGTCCCTAGAATGACTAAAAACTTAATGTTAAGTAGGGCTTCAATACTCATAAGACAAGGAGAGTCAAGAAAACAGTAGGAAACACCCATAAAACAAATTTCTGTGCTAAAGAAATTTTTGTAGTTCAGAGATATGGAAAACTGAGGCTTTACTAATAATACCTGCAGAGAGCAGGTTGGTAGAAGGCACCCAAACTATTTGTTGAACACTGCTTTCAAGTTCCATTTTCTTGCTAAAAAAGGGAAGGGGAAGGGGGCCAGACTGGTGTTTCTGAAGAACTTACAAAGAAAGCTAAGTGTTATGAATACCCAGCAAAGTCATAGAAAGCTCTGAAGAGTTTGAAATGATTTTGAAATAAGGAAACAGCTGCAGTCATCTCTCTGAGAGAGATGCTCTGGACCTTTTCCAAGCATCCAAGAGACTCATGGTGTCTGCCCTGTAATTGGAGAGAATGTTCCAGCATACTATGAATTGGAGCTGGCCATTCTCCTATAGCATTTTAAAGACTAAGCTACTGTTCACATCCAGCACTGTTCAATGTCAGAGTCTCATGTATATTATATTCTCACCAGGACCTAAACCCTGCCACTTTATTTATCCCACTTTAACAGTTATTTATTTTCTCCTTTTCCACCTTCCCCTAATACCCTGTCACCAGCAATCAAAAGCCCAGCCCTAGGATTAGAAACATCTAAAAGTATGTGGGCTTCCTGGGTGTTTTTTCTCCCCCAAAAGCATTTCCTAGAACTTGACACATCTAGACAAAGATCCTATCTTCTCAGATATCCCAGGGGACCCTCTACTCCATACACACGTAACACCCTAATCATGAGCCAGGACAGTTTCTTTGACTTTATTTACAAAAGTTAACCAACATAAGGTCAGGTCAAACGTGCTGAAACAAACTTTTTTTTTTTTTTTTTAAACTGGGGTATAGTTGCTTAAACAAACTTTTGAGCAAGCTTACGTGTGGTGCTCCTGAGCTGGATTTTTTTTTTTTAAAAACCCAAGAAGTTCATATTCCTGACGTACATAGGCACGTTGTGTCTCTGAGTGTCCCAAAAACCAGAGTCAAAAGGAAAGGCAACCAAGAGGCCTACAGAGACACAAGAACTTTTAAAATACCTTTACTCTCAATGCCGACCATGGAGCTGCCTTTGTCCCTACGACCACAGGAACCACCTCTTGGTCAAAAGCAGGGCAGCTATACAGCCTTCTGTGTTCAATCTGTCTACCTAGCGCAGCTCTCTGAACACAGTAGTCAGGAGTACTTTCTCAGTCTTACTTTGGCTCTTTCAGCTTGAGAAACGTTCATTTTCTCGCTTTTGCGCCACCTGCCTTCTAGCAAGTAAGAAAGAAGCTAAGAAAGGTTGGTGGCTATTGAAGGACTGAAGAATCCTACACACAAGTTATCCCTTAATCACAGTGTATTACTAGAATAGAATACTGCCTACATACTTTTTCTGCCTTTTTCATTATAACCATCAGCAAATCCATAGTAGGTGCATAATTAATGTAATCTAAACTACTGTAAAACACTGAGCCAGGTTCCAAAGGAAAAAAGTATTCCTGTCTTTAATAATCATAAATTAAAATAATAATGATTATATTATAGCCACTAACATTTGGGTGCTTACTATGTGCCAGGTACTATATGAAGTTCATTACATTCAGTATCTCATTTAGTTGTTTTAACCATCTTAAACATATCAGGTACCATGACATACGTAGCAGGTCATTTTATAGATAAGAAAACTGAGGCTTTGAGAGAGTAAGTAACTTGCCCAAGTCTCACAAATAGTTAAGTGGCAGAGCCAGAAATGGAACCCAAGACATTTTACTCGAGAACCCACTTTCTTAACTTTACCAAAACCTCAGGTATCTTACATAAGCACTTCTTTGGAAGAAGAGTAGCAGAATGGAAGTAGTGCTTAATTTCCAAGGGAAGAAGGATCACTAGGATCCTTAGCTAAAAGTAGTTGTAGGGCTTCCCTGGTGGCGCAGTGGTTAAGAATCCACCTGCCAATGCAGGGGACACAGGTTCGAGCCCTGGTCCAGGAAGATCCCACATGCCGCGGGGCAACTAAGCCCATGCGCCACAACTACTGAGCCTGCGCTCTAGAGCCTGCGAACCACAACTACTGAAGCCTGCGTGCCTAGAGCCTGTGCTCCGTAGCAAGAGAAGCCACCGCTCGCCGCAACTAGAGAAAGCCCACACGCAGCAATGAAAACCCAACGCAGCCAAAAAGAAATTAATTAATTAAATTAAAAAAAAAAGTAGTTGTAAACTACTTCAACAACTTCTACATCACTCAAATGACTGGGTCAATGCAAGGATCCTACCCCCTTTCTACCATACCATATGCCTCTACTTCATAACTAACTAGGGCTCCAATTAGTAGTCTCATACTAAAGATTTTCTCAACTCAATTTGTTTCTAACTTTGGCTAATTGGCTATTCCATCTGTTGAACTGTATGAAAAGAATTAGGGTTTCCAATGAACACAGGCCTCACTATATTTTTCCTTACCAAAGTCACTAGGAAGCTTTTCTTGATTTTGTCTACCACCACTAAGATAAAAAGTGAATAAGGGATATAAATGGAGATTTCAAAATAAGAACCTCTATAGAACATTCTAGATGAAAAATTCTCCACTTCATTAAGCCTCCAGGCCAAGGAGGAAACAGCTTTAAGGGAAATAAAAGGAGCATACCATACCTACCCTTCTTGGGGATAGGCAGGACTAGATCGTATCTTGCTGAACTACCACTATTTACTTTCTTCATTCAGTTCAGCGCTAGGGATACTTCAGCACATTCACATCACAGAGGGAGATGTTACTGCTGAAACCTATCTACTCTCTCTGCACAAATCTTGGGGCCATTCCCTTCACAAATCTCATCACAAAGCCTACATCCATTTGGAATGTGTGGGACAGCCTTTCCTCTGGTTCTCTACTTCACTGTATCCCAAAATGGGGAGTTTGACTTCTAAATTAAATTTCCTGTGTTTCTTTTTGAGCTCAAAGGTGAGGAAAGAACGAGGGAGGAAAAGAAGCGGGGGGTGTCAGATGGATATATTTCTCTAGCCATTAAGGCTAGTATCAGAGATTTCCCCTTGAGATTCCTTTTTTAATCCTCTGGTGCCTTCTCCTGGAGATCTAGGCAGAGCATCTGCTCCAAGTATACCAGGGGCTCTAGGGGGAAAAAAAACAATACAGATGCCCCCCCCCCCCCCCCCCCCTGAAAAGCCTGCCCCCCCCCCCCCCGCAGAGACCAGCGAGGGTTTTATTTATTTTGTGCATGCCTGCCCTTCTCTCCTACCCAGTGCCCCTCAGCTCCCCTCCTAAAGCCTCTTTCCTCCTTGCCCTGCAGGGAAAGTGCACAACAGGCCCAGTAAATCAACACAGTTCTAATGATCTCTCTCACTTGACCCTTCTAGCGTGACGGTGTCGCATGGAAACAAACGTACAATAAACTTCACTCCATCTTTAGCTCCTTGCTGACAGGTTTTGATTCATGGGATGGTGAGACCCATCTGAAGGAAATTACCTCGATCAAAATGCATCTCCCTCTGCATTCATCAGGCCAATGCTCCCCCAGGCCATGCTCAAGTGCACAAATGGGGTTGTGCATCTGCAGGCAGCACTGACCCCTCTAGCTCAGTGTCATATGCATTTGCAAACCTTTCCCTTCTTCATCCCTCCCCCACTTCCCTCCCACAAACCCTCAACCACTAACAAATCTTTTTTCTTCCCAGGGTTGCTCCCGTGTGGGAAGAATAGTGCTGGAATCTGAAACGCCCTTATTTGCTATCAAGTGAAAACTCTTCAAAACACACCACTTGCATCCAAAATCAGAAGAGAAATCTGTCCTCACTGACTAAACACAGGCACTGGATATTCAGATTGATCCATGTACTTCACTTCCCTCATTCTCCCACTCAAGACTTAAAGAGCAAGCCAACTAACTGACCGACGCCAATAACTTCAGCATACATGATCCTCACTCCTATCTCCCAATAACTGCCTTGTTTTCTTTTCAGAAGTTTGGTGATAAAAACAAGAAAGAGAACTGTGTAAAAGAGGAGAGAGGTCATATAAGAAGCACAGGGCAGGGCTTCCCTGGTGGCGCAGTGGTTGAGAGTCCGCCTGCTGATGCAGGGGACATGGGTTCGTGCCCCGGTCCAGGAAGATCCCACATGCCGCGTAGCAGCCGGGCCCGTGAGCCATGGCTGCTGAGCCTGCGTGTCCGAAGCCTGTGCTCCGCAACGGGAGAGGCCGCAACAGTGAGAGGCTCGCGTACCGCAAAAAAAAAAAAAAAAAAAAAACTACTAAAGAAGCACAGGGGAGAAAGCATGATATATATTTAATAAAGCCAAATGCCCCCATGAATCACTATCACTGTATTTTCCATCATGGAATAAGATAGTTCCTAACTGAACCTTTCAGAAGACATCTTCAACTTTTCAAAATTCACTTTTCTTCTTGTTTCCCTTTCACATTTGGCACATCCTTGGACAATATAAAGAAAATGATACCTGCTGAAAGAAAAGACGGAGACATTCCAGGTTGCCCCAAGATACAAATTACATGTGTGAAAATGCTTGGTACATAGGAACTATCATATAAGTATTCAATAAATGTTAGCCATTATTTCTATTGCTTCCTTCTGGTCCTTGAAACAAAGTCTGAGACCACCAACAGAATTCTGAAACTAACAATGCCATTCATTCTTCTTCTACACTACAAGTGAAGTCATCAAAAGTTGTCAAGAAACAGACATTACCAAGGCAACAAGGAAATTCCCTTCAGTTGCAAGGCAAATGATATTTGGAAAGAGGATCAGATTTAAGGTTAAGTGTAGCAGAACAGTAACTCAGCAAAACCACAGTCTTCTCCATCAGGTACTATTAACCACCTTCTCTTTCTGGGACCTTAAAAAAAAAAAAAAACTATGCTGTCAGGCTTTAACTGATATCAACATCCCTAACAATTAATGACTACAAAAAGAGATATCTATATAAGGTAATGTCCAAGGGAACTGAGCAAGGATCCGACCTCTAACTGTAGATCCAATTCCAGGTACTCTAAAGGCCCCTGAGGAATTGCCTTCACTGAATTACACAACATCAGCTTCTATCAACACTGTCAATAACACTGAAACCATAATATTAAACCATTCATCCACTAGTCATTCAAATAACCACTGAGAGCCTACTTTGGGTCAGGCACTGTTTTCTGGCATTGGGAATAGAGAGATGAATAAGACAAAAATCTTTAACCTCACAGGGCTTATGAATTCACAACTGAATGACTATAAAGATGTGTGCCATTGTTCATTACATTACTGCATATTGAGGACTCATGGGGAAATTTTCTTCCTGATTCCCAGACCCCAAATAATTATGCTTTTGCTGAACAACTTGTTAGTTTTACCTTTTGAAAATCACTGTAAACAGTACAATTGTGTTTTCCTGTTTCTACTGACTGCTATAAAGTTTGGAGCAAAATGTGTGGTCTGTCCCTGGCAAGTGGTTTTGAAAATATTTCTATTGGAAAGGAGAGGCCAGAAGTATTGAGGTGAGAAACATGAGATCAAGAGACAGAGATCAGGGAATTTCCTGGTGGTCTAGTGGTTAGGACTTGGGACTTTCACTGCCAAGGCCTTTGGTTCAATCCCTGTTGGGGGAGGGGGAGGGAGAGAGAGAGAGAGAGAGAGAGATGGAGAGAGAGAGATGGAGAGAGAGAGAGATGGAGAGAGAGGGAGAGAGAGAGAGAGATGGAGAGAGAGAGAGGGAGAGAGAGAGAGGGAGAGAGAGAGATGGAGAGAGAGAGATGGAGAGAGAGAGATGGAGAGAGAGAGACAGAGAG